TTATCAAGTCCGTTTGTTAGAAAAAATGATTGAACATGTTTATTAGTCCATTGAGTAATGCAATCAGGTAATTCACTACATAAAGAAATAATATAGAATGAGGAAATACAAACAGGGATATTTAACTGTTGTTATTGATAGCTTTATTTCAGTCTCATTTAGTTATAATCGACAATTATTTCTATGATCTTAAAACCGATCAAAAAACTTTTTCTGTAAATATGAACGCTGCTCATGTTCCAAGAACAATACTATTTGAATAATATCTTCGTACCTCTTGCGTCCATTTTGAAATACTTCATTTTCAATGTCATCACTATTAGAAACATCTTTCTATCCTATAAATTTTTCAGTTATGAGTTGTAAAACAAAACTTACACGATCTGAAATCTATCAATCAATATCGAAGCCTCTTGAATAGATTTCGACATCGTAGAAGAAATATCTGGATAATTTCTTTCTTTAGATTTTACCATCGAATAATTCATATTCAGTTGACAATGTTGATTTATTTCTTTTTTCAATTTCTTATAGGCCAATGTAAATTCAATCTTGGTAAAATCTACCCTAATTCTACCGCTTACCATAATACCGAGCCATCCATCAGGCTTATAACAAGGTTTCATAATAAGTGGTATCAAATGGCAGCGTCGTTCAAATGCATAATGTGCTTCCGATTGACAATAGACACTTTGTTTATATGTATCTGACATACATATGAGAATAAATTCAGAATTTTCAATAGCTTCTGCCATAGCCATCATTGTAGTTCCATACATATTATCACGATCGATCCAAACGCTAAATCCATCTTGAATAAGTCGTTCATGAATTTGATAACATAATTGTCGGTCACTATGTGAATAACTTATCATAATATCGTATTTATATGATTTTGAATTAGTTAATTTAGCAACAGCTTCAGCTTCTTTTTCTAATTTCCAAAGAAGAGCTTCAGCAGCTCGTTGTAAATTTGATTTATTCGAATTGGTACTATTGACAAGATTTCGAATTGTTAACATAAAATTTATATTTTGTCTTAAAGTTGATAAAGCATCATTATTAAATGAAAGTGCAAGAAGAATTTCGAGAACTATTGGTTTGACTTTAATTGGATCAAATTCAATTTCAATTATACATCGTATAAGTAATTGAAGTGCATTTTGTTTTATTAATTCAACTTTGACT